ATCACTATCCCAATACCGAACGCAGACGCAGCGGAGAAAGTGTTCACAAGAATAAGTAGAAGGGATGGCCGAGACGGGGAGAACGGAACAAGGCCCTCAGTCGTGGTCAATAAGGAGTCATTTGATATCACACTGAGAGAAGACGGGGAGTACGTGATGGACGTCTGGGCTCAGGACAAATCTAATGTGCTAGATACAGTTGCAAGGTTTACTATCTGTCGCAGGCCATCCATCGACTCCTATACAGACGATATCGAGGCTCTGATCGAATCTCTAAAACCCCAGGAAGAAATGGAGGAAGAAGTCGAAGAAGAAATAGAAGAGAACTGCGAAGAAGAGTTTGAGGAAGTATTTGAAGAAACAGATGATAATACTACCTTATACACTGAAACAGAATGTGATGAAGACCACGAAGATGTCAACAATGAAAACCAAAGTGAATGTGAAGAGAAAGAAGATCAGGATGCTGAGTCCATCAAAGACGAAGAGAATCAAAAGATAAGAAATGACCAATCAGAAGAAAACGACAATGATGAAGCAGTGAAGAGTGAATCGACGCCGAGAGAGGTAAATAATGTTGTTGTCGTTGGTGTCGTGGCTGGTTCAAAAACAAAGAAGAGCAAGGATGATAAAAAAGATACAAAAGAGGAAGATAATTTTGAAGACGATGATGCAAATGAATCTCCGGCAGGTGTTTCGCCAGCTGATGACTCTCCGACGAATGAAAAGCAGGAGGCTACTTCTGCCAATGAAAGTTCCTTGAACGACAAGCATGAAGAGGTGGTAGTAGCTGGGGCGGTGTCGGGGATAGTCATCACACAAAAGGAGAACAAAAGTGAAGACTCTCCAATAACAACTAATGATACTCAAGATAAACTAAGTGATGATGTCATAAGTTACTCTGACGGTAAGAGTATAAATGACACGGACAACGAGAGCATCCTGACAGTCCAGGACAATAACAATACGAGGACCACCACGAGAATGGACAGTGTCAGCGTGTCCGCCTTTGGAATGGTGGCCGCGCATGTCATCTCCGAGGATAAGGTCGAGGGCGATGACGAAGACGATTATGAAGACGATGAGCGTCTGACGAATGACTCACAAGGATTATTTAACATTGATGAAAATAACATGAATGAGGAAAATCAAAACAAATACCGAGCAGGTAGAGTTTATATTTTTTCAAAGTGATCCTTTTGAACATGCTTTTGTTGATCTACATTTTGTATGAAACGATTCGAATTTTTTATTTAAAAATCTTTCCCAGCACGACGACGAACGATTGTCCGGAAATTACACAGAGCAATAAGAGACCGGAAGCTTAAGGAACTCACACATATATTCGAGGAATACAAGGCAACTAAACCCCCCAAGGATGATGAGCTGAGACGAGAGGCCAGACGAATTATAAACCAACTCAAAGCAAAAGACAGTAAGAGGATTTCTTTTCTCTTACATCATATATTGCAAAGGCACTATGTTACGATTTTTGTCACCAAAAGAAAAAAAATTACTAGCAATGAAAAATATGGAGATATTGAGTTCAAGATATTGATCTTGCAACTTTATAATAAAGTAGGGACTTCCTAACCATTTCGACTAATTGGTCTTCAACATACCAAAGCCCAACTGTAGAGTTCCATGTTATTAAATGTGTCTTCTCTCTGTCTCTAGGGTTTCTACAATCATGTAAATCATAATAATTCTTTTCAAACGAAGCGGATTTTTATTTGATAAGCGGTAAATTTCAAGAATTACATAAGCAACAAGACAATCCAAAGACAACATGTACATTGTGATATGCCGTTGTTGCTGCAAAGAAGAAAAATTTGACATATATTATATCCTTTATAAGGCATCAAGCAGTTGAAAGTTTCCGTTAAATAGGTATATATGAATGAGAAAAAGAAACAATCTGCGTCCCTTCTCGAGTCTTGCACTCGACAAAACCAGACTAAACACACCGAAATCCTTTAATTCACGTTTTGAATCGTTACAGATTTGATAACTGCCACTCTGTCCAAGGACCCCGACAATCTCCGTGAGGCCATCACTCGCGCCCACAGACACAATTACAACATGGCGCTGACGGTGCAGATCCTCCTGGCGGGTCGTCTGCTGGAGAGGTACGTCCGGATGAAGAAGATCGAGTCTACCGTGATAGAGATGAACCAGAACGCCGTGACGGAAATGAAGAAGTACGCCAAACCTCCCAACGGCGTGCATCAGACACTGGGGGCCACCTTTTTACTTCTAGGGGAGGATGCCACCGTTGTCAAGGTAGCGACTTTATAATTGTTAGCCAAGATCAATAAGCCGAATTTTTCTTTGCTAGAGTTTAACAGAATTATTTTTTTTTAGAACTGGAAAAAGTGTCATGCGTTATTGTTCAAAACTGGTAAGAACGGCATCCTCAGGCGAGTGGGCGCCTTTGATCCTAAAGATACAAATCCAACCGTTGTTGCTGCAGCCAAGAAAATTCTAAGTAGATTTGAATATCTACAAATCCGTGATGTCAGCAAAGGGGCTGCTGCATTTTTTACTTGGGTTTGTGATATCGAGCATTTATACGTTCAACTTAATAATCATACTATTTTACATGTATTTCTTATATACATAGTAAATCATTATTCACAAGAAGCTTAAGCCTAAGATTATTAATAATATCCAGGTTAGCATTTGAACTATACTTTTCAGGCTAACAATATGGTGCAGCAGGCGGAGTCTTACCAGAACTCTCTCCGAAAAAGCGGTAAAACGTCTGCGCGGAATATCGGCCCGCGATCCTCAAGTATGGTGCCCTACAGTGGCAGACGGCAGGGAACCACTGTCCTTAAAATGTGAAAGACTCCATATCTAAAGATGAACTTTTATCTGTCATGATACCATGTCATTATACGTGTACATATTCGCTTAGTGATAATTTTCTATGAAACATTTTGTAGCATAAACCTGTACTTAATATTGATAGTAAAGAAAGACTTTTGCCTTAACAACTGTTTATATTTGTAATTCACAATTAAGGTGGTTGTGGAGGATGTAAGACCATTGACATATTTATTCAACTGTTTATTCGCATTTACATGGGAAGTTTTTTTAATCTATAATTCTTGACTTTTCGGGGGTTCATGCTTACACTGCTCACAATTCTGCACTGTAATTTTGTATTTAAGGTAGGTCACTCGTCAGCTTTTTGGAAAAGTTCAAGCAGAACCTATTACTTCAAAACTATTTATCAAAATTCAATTTTTATAACATTTAATTTCAACACTGTTAATGATTTAACATTCAACGAAAGAACTGCTCAAAAAGCTACAAAGAAGCACGATTTGTGAGGGACTATTTTTTGTGGTGGAAGGATATGTAGCAGATAATTCTGCAAATCTGCACATCTATTAAATTTAATATCTTGAAACTTTAGCCTCACATACTTTTACTTGGAGAATATTTTCCATTATGATATTGCTAGAAATATTTAATATAGGTCTTAATTTATATTTTTAGACCAAGTTTTACACCTTCCTTCATCAAACTTTGCTAAAAAAAATGAAGATATGTCAAATAAATCAATATAAAATTTACACCATTTTTTGCCTGAAAATCATATATTCTGACATATATTTTAAAATAACATCAGTGACCCAAACTTTTTCTTTCATTATTTTCAAGTACTCTATAATTGTGACTGATAAGCACTTAAGCTGTAAAAAGCTTGATGAAAGAAAATGTTTTATTGCCTATTTAGTTTTTTAATACCCCAAAATATGTTACTTTTTAGTGCAAAAAGGTCACATAATAATTTACGCGCATTAATTTGCAAGATTTTTTCAATGATAAATATTATTCAAAATATTTTACGTAAAATAAGACCATGTCTTTTGCCATGGTTACATCTGATAAAATATAATTAAGGTTTAAGTAATTAACCAAAGAATGAAATTTTAAGTGCAAAAAGGTCAACTTCATTGTACCGTAGATCAGTAAGATTAACACTGATTCCCTTTTTTCCTCTGCGATTTTGAGTCTTTCTATATGAGTACTTATCCAAAATATACTTCTCAATAAATCCTTGATTTAAAAAATTTCACGGGTGACATACCTTAAAGTTGATATATTATCTTAAAAAATTACATGTATATACAAATTCTAGAGTGAAATATATAATGAATTCATATCCCAAATGCAAGGAAACACGGATAACTATCCATGCATCAATTCTTCATGCAATTCTTAACATATTCTGTGTTTAAATACCTTGTACAGTTGATAAGAAAATATTGACGAAGGATTTATTTTTAGAGTTAGGATGACAAATAATTATTATTCGATAAAATTGTATGGTTTTATTTCCCATTTGCAACCCCTATGTATTATACAAAAACATTAATAAAATTTGATCCGAGTATTAAGTTAACTTTCTGCACTTTGTACTCCCCCTGTCACGTAAAGGAGCATCTGGTCTGTCTAATAATATCATGCAACTGGCGGGTCTTAATTAATAATCAAAACCACCATAAAATGTCGCTATGTACAACCGTATTTCGGTCAATGGGTTAAATAGACACGCTCGTCACGGTCCAATCCATGAACTGCCTCTTTCTCTGTACATTATCTTTATACCCAGGTGAAATAACTGTGTAAACATCCAACTGCGAAACGATTAAAGTAAAGAAGAAATGTAAATAAAAAATTAATTCTTATTGTTATAAAGTTAAATTCTGTCTATGAATTGTATCTATGTTCGGGTGATTAATCTATGTATATTGACTACTTATATGGTCAACTTTTAGAAAATATGTAATCCCCAAGAAACATAGAACAGGAAAAGTAGATTTTAGAACAGGGTAAAAATTTATAGTTTGGCACCCGTGTATTTCCCGAGCGGTAGGTTCAGTTGTATAATTGTCCGAGGGGTCCTTAACCTGCGTGTCTAGAGACTAGGGAGTAGTGCTGGGCGTTACAGGGAGAGAGAACATCGTTCGTGAGGGGGTGGAACCATGGGGAATCAGGCCCAAGGACCCAGGGTGTTTGCGGTATGTTATATTTGTACAGATAAAACACTGAGTAGATTTGTAAATAAACTGTCAAATCTCTAGTTAACAGAAATAATATTAAAGTAAATGCATATTGGCTATAAATTTAATAATTTATAATAGACTGTGATAATAACAAAATAGAACTTCATATTATTTTTTAAGAATTAAATTCAATTACTCCGCTATTTTTCGTATCTTCAGATAAGATTATGAATTAAATCTTTAATATTGCTGTTTACTGTTCTTGTCTGCAATTGGTATGTGTTTCATGATACATTAAATTTTAATTTTTAGTGTATGTTAAGTTTTAATTTTTGTTCTATCTAAAGACATTTTCAGTTTATCATGTTTATAGTACTTTGTTCTTTGTCTTCAGTGTAGGCCCCTCTCATTTTTATCATAAACTTCTGTTGGTCTGTTGAGTGTAGGCAGATGATGTCTTGGACCAAGCTGCTGGGACTTTTGGAGAAAGTGGGGATATTCCGGTGGTCCCACCTAAAACTTCCAAAGAAGAACTTCTCAAAAGAGTGGACTTTACCTCTATAGATGAAGCCGCGATAAAGGTGAGCATGTGAATACTACCGGTATAACGAATATAAAAATGACCAATGATGCAATGTATTTAAAAAAGATTTCATACCAAATTTACAAAATTCGTTAATTATTTTCTTTTGTCATAAGAAGAAGTTATGTCCCTTTTCTAGGCACCACCTGAGCTTTTATTGGAGAATTTCTGGGATATATCGGACCACCTGGTGGTATCTAAAAGTTTTAAGGTCATCGATGACCTTTACAGAATCCGTGCTATATTTAGATGGTTGACGTCATTTGATGAGGAGAGTATTACGTCACAGATTCTCCCCCCTGAAAACAGTCCCCTGGAATACCTCATTAAAATAGGATCAGATTTTGGAGACCACGCCAACCTGCTTTACGTCTTATGTGTGTAAGTGAATGTATTTTGTTTTTCCAAATCAAAAAATATAATCATTTGATTTGAGAAACCAAGAAATTTCTCCATCTTAGTACAAGTAGAAAATTATTTAATTTCGATATCCACTTTTCTTAACACTGAAATAAAATCATTCCGTCTTTATTTTAGATCCGCCAACATACCCTGTGTTGTAATAAACGGGGTGTCTAAGCATGGCTTTTATGAAGTTGGGGATGAAATTCGCAAAGAAGTACTGGCATCGAAATGGAACGCAGTGTTTGTAAACGGGGAGTGGCGCCTGATCGACCCTTTCTGGGCGCACACCTCCATACCTTACGACCAGTACCGAGATCAGATAGCCGTAGACGAAGAAGGGCAGATAACTCTATCTACCGAACTGGGCGACACTGAAGGGGACCCTCGCCCGGTCAATGAATTCTTCTTTCTGTGTGATCCAGACAAATTGATCTACACACACTTCCCTGATGAAGAACAATGGCAGCTTCTGGACGAACCTATCAGCGAGAAAAGATTTCAGGAACAACCGTACTTCCGGGAGCATTATCATGAGATGGGACTTAGTGTGAGTAAAGGATTTCCTGACACAGATAACTGTATACTGCGGCCTGACGGGAGACCATGTAGAATCAGTTTCGATTTGCCCAAAGACAGAGGAGCAACTCAAGACTTTAAATTCTCTGTGACTGAACTGGACGTGGATGAAAACACTGACACTACTGACCTAGAGAAATACGTCATGATGAGCAAATCAAAATCAACGTTACAGTTCGGAGTGTGCTTTCCTTTCATTGGTCGATTTCGCCTGGATGTATATGGAACGGATGACGTCTTAACCAACCAATTCAACTTAGCCTTTTCATACTTGATCCACTGTGGCATACCCATCAAAAACTTTAATGGATTCCCAGAAGTTCCTGAACATGGATGGGGACCTCATCCGAGTGCGGAAGAACTCGGGATTGTTCCAATAAGCCCAACGTCTAGTGTCATAAAAACAGAAACGGGAATAGTAGAAATTCGATTTCCGGCCTCAAAAGCAAGAGAGATCAGCCACTGTTTAGGTTCCACGAAGTTTGATGCGGCTTCTTTGAGCAGGCACGCTCTTGGGCGGTTAGACACTGCCAGACAAGAATACTTTGTTTATGTGAGACTTCCAGAACAAGGGGACTATACTTTGAAGATATTTGCGGATGTGGACGAATTGCGTGGGAAAATTCCAGATTCTACGGTCATGACTTATCTTATTGAGTTTTCTGGAGAGGCAACAAATGATCCATACCCTTTTGTATTAGGTAGTCAGATTGGTCCAAAGTTAGGGGCATTCCAGCTCGGTGTGGAAGCCATCGATGAATCGAATGGTGTGTTAATGGCCTGGGATGGAAAGTTAGATCTGACCTTTACAGCTGATGAAGATTCCGCCTTGTTCAGCGAATTATCCACGTCCAATCCAACTGCAAAGAAAGTTATGAAAATCAAGGATAAGAGAGAAGATGGAAAATGGATATTTAGCCTGAATCTACCCGTTGCTGGACTTTATTCCTTAAATCTTTTTGGATGGAACGAGAAAGAAAAACACAGGAAAGTTGAAGAAGTTTTTAGCTTCTTGATTCAGTCTACAGGATCCCTAAGTAAAGAGGAACTGGAGAAATTAGAGAAAAAAACCAAAGGGAGGAGAAAAGTCAATTCCGGAATTACGAATATGGAAAGATCAAATACAGTGCTGGATAGTGATTCCCAGATTGCCAAGTCACGTGTAGATAATAAAAATAACTCTTCCTCAAAATTTTCATCTGACACTGGAGACATAAAGAATGATGGCGAGGGAGTCGACATAATCTCAAATGTGGTCTCCCCAAGAAACCCAATATCAACAGAGGACTTCGACAGTGTTAACAACAAACCTCCCACGTCAACTGGTTACGGGCGACAGCAGTCACGGGGAAGCACGAAGTTTACAGGAACCTTGGACAAGGAAAGTATTGAAAAAGGAAGTACAAAAGGAAGTACAGACTCTAAAGAGAAAACAGCTAGTGATGGACGTTTAAAACACTCATCATCGCAGAAAAACAAGGACTCGAAAGACAATGAGCGGGCAACCCCTCGCAAAGGTGTTTTGAAGAAAGGAGATGAAAATAACGCGTCCAGAGATGGCGCTCGAACAAAAAAGAAAGCGGTATCTATCGTAGAAGCCACTGGGAAAAAAGACGCAAAACAGAAAAAGAAGAAAGACGATTTGGACGTTCGAACATTTCAAACCACAAAAAATATTGTTAAAATTGATATTGAACATCCAATTAAAACCGTGTTTACTTCTCTCCGTAAGACCGACGCCATTGATAAGCCTGGCGACAGGGCCGCTGTTATAAAAACTACGGAGGGAATCGAGGTTCGAATCCAAGGATATGGCCGGTATCAAGTGGACGTCATGACAAAGGAGAGCGGTCCACATGTCAAGATTGTAGGTCGCTACACCGTTATCCGCGTGCCCTCTTCCAATCCTTCAAAAGACGAGTCCATGTCAAACTCGAAGCTGTTTGGAGGAAACGAATTTGACGGAAACGTCTTTTTGGATAGCGATGACGAAATTCCGGTCAGAGAAGACGTGACGGTCAGCAAACCAAAAAAGACTTCACGTCAGACTTCCGACAAAATGGATTATGGGACGGTGGTTCCTGATCTGCGATCAATTAAAAGTACAGACCTGTTGGACGAATTTCTACAGGGAAGGTTTACTGATGGTAAAAACTTTAGCCTAAACAATTACATGTATTTCCTATGCAAAGAAAGAATTTTACGCAACTGCAAATGTTATATCTATTAAAAAAAGTACAAGAATATGATCTGTTATTTATTTTTAACAGCCACGAACAGAGACATGAAAGCTAAACTGAGAAAAGTCCTAAAAGTAAGAGATCTAACTCTCATTCTGAAATACCTGGAACTATATCAATCGACATCCAAGTCAACACGGAACGCCATCTTCCCAAAGGCCGTGCAGGACATCATGAAGAAAATCAGACAACAGCAAAGTAAGGACAACATTGTTTTATAAATGATTTGGTCTGAGACCATTCAAACTTGATTAGAATTTCACTTATAAACATGACATCTAGTTTAAAAGAACAATGAAAAGTTTTGTAAATTGTTTATAGGCCTCACTGTGTTAAAATACAGATTTATTACAGCAATGAATGATCATATCTAAAATCAAAACAAACTGTCATTTCAAAGGACTGGTTGAAGAATGCAAAATGGAGACCCCTGTCCTGATGGATGAAGATATTCGTGTATCCAAAACCCCGGATGTCGTCAGGGTGATGGTCACGCATAAAATCATGGACAAGAATACTAGAAAGGAAAAAGTATCAAGAGTGACTCTGGAAATCAACCAGATCGCCCTGACGGAAATCAAACAGTATGCTAACCCACCAGAGGGCGTGCATGAGTGTATCATGGCAACACTTGTGTTACTAGGCGACCAACCGGAAGATTGCAAGGTACATGTACCAGTATAATCAATTATTAAAATCTCTTTCCTCCAAACAGTATAATGTACAATATAGTAAGATTTTTTTTTAATGTCTTGATCAGGATTTCAGTGCCTGTCAGGGACTGTTGTTTCGGACTGGGCGACAGTACATCATGCGCAGAATCACTCAGTTTAACACCAGGTGTGTCCCGCAAGACAGAGTCAACTTTGTGGCCAAGATTGTCAAGGAATTCAGTATGTGGCAGATATTAGACGTTAGCAAGGGGGCGGCCGCTTTCTATATGTGGGTAAGTAAGGAAATTCAGTTTATGGGGGTACTAAAATTCAGCAAGGGGTAGCCAGCCATTCATAGCAGTGCTATATATAAGTGATCGGGAAATTAATTATGTGCTCTTCGGAAACATAATTTGTTTTTATCTCAGCAGCCTCACTTTATCACAATAAATTAAAAGTGAGCTCGAATAAGTATATACCTTAGAGAAAAATAAAGATGGCTGCCGCTTTTCACAAAGGAAAAATTGAAGGCCCCTTCGGGAAAAAACTAAATTAAAATAATTTTTAGGAAAAGATAAATGAAGTGACCAAACATATGTATACATGATCATGTATTTGTTGCTTTGGCAAATTTTAGAGAAAATAGCCTTTTTAATGACTGTATGTTTACAGGTAAAGGCCATGCTGCATGACATTAAACAGAGAGCACGATCCGCAGCGCCCTCTACCACTGCCAAATCTACCACGTCAACCAAGAGGGTCCCTCCCAGACCCACCATCCTCCCCGAGTACATCAGCCGGAGGGACGGGACTGTTATCCTCAGGCTTTAGGGTCCTCGGGGTGAGAGGGGGACGCCTGAACCTGGAGAGGAGGGGCGTGACGACAACTCATTAGGTGCATCTGAAGATGATAGATCAAACTTCAAATGTCAATGACGATTGATTGTGCATGCATGTATGTTGTGTAAATAAAAATGTGAATTTCAAAATAAAATTTTCTCAATGAAATCAATGTAAAAATCGTTTAGTTATTTGTATTCCGTATTTGATCGCCTTTATTTATGCTTCGTATTAGTTTAATTAAATGCATTCTGTGTGCTTAGTAGGTACACAATTTTTCAAAATTAAATTTCGAGCATGTATCAGAGACATACTAAGTACACATACATCCAGATTTTATGTATATCCAAGAACTTTAAAGGGGCATGGACACTATTTATTAAAGCTAAAAATTTCTTAAATTTTATTTGTTCATTTCATATGTTTATAAAACTTAACTAAGATTTTTCTAATGATCATCAAAAATTGGGAAGTCAATTATCGAGCAATAAGAGAGGTTTAGAGCTTCCAGCCTTTGTTAATGTTAATAAGTTATGTGTCTTTTTCTACATAGATTAAGTATACTAGTATAAGCAGATTTTTTTCAAAACACGAGTTAATTCATAATACAATTAGAAAGTTTCTGGTGGTTTGTTGAATCTCGTTTTCTTATAAAAATAATAATTTTTATCGCTGCATTTCATTTCCGGAAATCTGCATAGCAGTTCCGACATTTTTAAATTTCATTTTCGACATTTTATTTTTTTTTCATTTCCGACGTAATTTTCTTTTCATTTCCGGAGTTTACCTGTCCGTCAATTTAATGCTTTCCAAGTAAGCGAAAATGGAATTTTAAAGGTATTTGTTGATAAAAAAAAGTATATAAATGTACATGTATATATAACTCTATTTATTTATTGATATAAAGTATAAAACTCCATGCATCTAAACATATATGCATACAAATAGCACTAAGTTTAGGTGTATACTATAAAGGAGTTCGCTGAGCATACAAGTTTTTCACCCCATCAATGTGCACTAAATTTAATATCAGTGACAGCACAAATCTTACAATGTATGTCCAAGACACTTGATGTACTCTAATCGAACTTTTACTCCCGTTGATAACGCATGATACTACTCTACACAGAATTTTAATTTTTCTTCGGTAAAGTCTTCAAATCTGTTACTAAAGGTACTATCTGAAAAAAAGTCGGAAATGAAACCAAAAAAAAGTCTTATATGAACACTAAAAGTGTCGGAAATGAAAAGATGATAATTACGAAAAATTCCGGAAATGAAACGCAGCCTTTTTTTTATATGTGATAATAAAGAATTGTATAGGTTCTGTATATCCTTTGTAAATCTACAACAGACATGTAAATTTTGTTGATCATTAGAATTGCCCTACTTGGGAATAATAAACATTGAAAATAGTCAATATTTTTTAAGTTGAAACCGTGTGCATGCCTCTTTAATAAGTATTGTGCCAAACGTAATATATAACTTAAGACAAAAATATACCTAGATCAAAATCCAGAAGCATTAACAATCTTTAATTTCATTTAAACATTACGGATAAAAAGTATTTTGTACTTTTTTTTTTTTTTTACATTTCCTACATAGATACCCCGTTAAAAAGTAAAATGGAACAAATCAATTTTGTACCTCCATGTGACTTTAATGTATACCCACGTGTATATTATGTAAACCAACAAGTAAAACAGTCGCTCTAATTGTTTAGTGGATAAGCCCCTGTACAAGAAGTACGCTGGATTAAAAGGATTAAGAAATTAATGATTTATGAACTGGATAAACCTTAAACTGCTATAATTAAAAACCCATATGAAAATTGGTTACGCAACGCAAATTTGAAAATGTGAAAAAAAAGAAAAGAAACTTACACCTGAATCCATGCGCGGATCTAGAGGGGGGGTGGACCCCCCGACCCGCTTGGAATTTGCAGAGCACTAAATCTATATTCCAAATTCAAGTTAAAAATGACCTTGGACCCCCTAGAAAATGCAGTCCCCCCCCCTTCAAAAACTTGGTTATTGTTAAGTTGGTATTAAAATTCATAGGTATGAAAAAGATTTGGCAGTCAACGAGTCGTTGACTGCCAAATCTTTTTCATACCCCCCCCCCCCCACCACCACCACCACTCCCACCATCAAATGGGATTTCACATTTTGGCGAGATATCATGTTTTCTTTCCAAACTTTTCCTTACAGAATCGTGTATAAAGAAATTGTTTTGTTTTTTTTCCTCAAAATGAAACTGATCAGGTATTTTTAATCACACCTTTTTCATTGTCCCATAATCCGCGGAAATAGGTCATAAAACGGATTAAGCCGCTCAATAAATCCTTTATACCGAGATCAATATGGGGGATTAAGGAATGTGTATTGAGGACGAAGTTATTGTGCACTAAACAAATGGTTTCAATTACAAATATGGCTTTCTATTCCTGTAAAATCTAACAAAACAGGCAAGTATTGTTTAATTAAATTTTCATATTTTCAATTTGTATTTTTTTGTAAACTTGAACTACAATCGACCCATCCTGACAATAGATCTGTGTGAATATATTTATGAGTATAATGCTCATTTGACAGATTAAAAATGCCAACCGGGGTATTCTCAAAGATTTACATGAATGTTGTTAGGTAAATATTTCTTTCGCTACATACGTTGTTTTGTCTAAATCATTTAGAGAGAGCCGGGCTTTCCCCCTCCTAGCCATTACAGAGTTCGACAAGCTACATTTTTAGACGAGGTAACGATGCCTAAAAAAGAGAAGAGCAGTACATCAAAAACCTCTACCAAACCGGTAAGAAAATGTCCGCGAGATTTCAGTTGAATTTGTCGGAGAGTTTACGTTCACTGGAAAAAGTCAAGAGTTTTTTTTTAATTTCTTGTTTCATATAAAATAGTTTTCACATACATAAATCTGGTATACATTTAACACCGCCTCCAAGGGTTTTAAGATAAGGTAAATTGGTATACGTAAACTTTTGTTAGAAGTAAACATTTTCTCCCTAAATTCAGTTCATTACCAATGACCATTTCAAAACCGCTGAAATTCCAGGAATTTTATTTTGAAAATAAGAAACTATGCTGAAAGTTAGGATGACTTAGCTTAAACATTTTACATAAAATATCACAGAGGGAATTAAGAACTTAAGAACTCTAAATGATTTCAGTTTTCTGAATTTTAGCATAATATTTACAGTAATAGACTTAAATCCCTCAAATTATTCAATATAACTCGTAAGTTCAAGCATAAATGATCCATTGGCATAGGATAATTAACTTAAAGTTAGATGACTGATAATATTCAGATGTTTTAGCTTGTTAAAAATTCAATGGGAAGCAAATAACTTGAATATAATTATACCAAGAAGCTACAAGAAAAAAATGTCCAAAAGAACCAAATAGTCCCAAACAGTTGTATTTTATAATACATAAAGTACAATATCTAATATTGATGTTACTTTCCACATTCAATCCGAAATACCCTTTCATATTATTTGAAAAATGCAGCATGTACTTACATGTATAATCAAACATTGAAATCATCAGGGCCCAGCAATGCTTAGATCACAAAATCCTTGAACTCTGAAAATATTCAAAGAAACTTTACGATTGGCTTAAAAAAACAGAGTTGTATGACCTTCACTTGTAACATTATTTTTAACTTGACTAGGTCAAGGTCACTGATTTGAGGGTAATTTTTTTTACTCTAAGATAAGTTCATACTTGACACAAAGGTTAGAGCAGCTGATTGTCTTGGTGCCTAACCGAGGTCGTTTTGACAAGGTCTATTCCATCAAGATTTGGAATGGGGAACTGGTGTTAAAAAATGTAAAAAGTAACAACAGATAAAGAACAATAATTTTGCTTACCTTTTTTTTGCATAGAAACATACTTACAGATATAATGTGGAAGAAGAATAGAGCAAAGAAATGTGGAGCTAACGAACGGTAGTCAAGGTCATAAGGCCATTCAAACAATACAAATCAGGACCAGAGCACACAAGTGCTTCTGAAACAGGTGGGATCAGGTGCCATGGAGGAGTAAACAACCCCTGCCGACCAGTCACACCAGCCGTGTGCTTGATCTGGTAAAACACCCTTGATCTGGGAAAAATCCGTATACAAGTCATTGTGTAAATAATGACCTAAGAACTAGATAATAAACATCAGTGAGAATACTTGATTGTGAATTGTATTTGCTGACAAGGTCATTGTATCGACGACAAAACTTAAGAAATGATGATTTTAAAAGAGACAGCTGATATTTCTTGTCGCATCAACTTGTTTGTCAATAGTTTGGCTTGATTAAGAAATTATTTGAAAGTAGAATATGCTAATGTGTATCCATTCAAGAGACATAAACCCCCCTATGCAGGTGATAAAGGGTACTTTGCTATATGTAAGAGAGGGAAGTTAAAGAATTAAAAGTTGAAGCCATCGCGTTTAGCACAACGCTTTGTTAGTAAGCTACCATTAACAATTTTTTCTAGTATTTCCTAGTTTTAACTCTTTCAGTGTTATTTATTTTCCAATAGCAGGAACAAGTAGAGGGTCAGGATGAGATCGTGAGTTTCTTGTGTCTTGAAGCCCCTTCCCCTCCAACTACCTCTTTCTCCCCTTAAATCAATGTTCATACCTAATAATATGTACATCGTATGAATCACACTTAATGAACTACTATATAATCTTTTATAAAACAGTATAAAAACCATTAACCTATACCCTGTACATGTACTTTTGACTTCAATAATAAGGGTTTTTGTACCTGTTAATAAATGTGACTTTATTAAAAATCCAAAAGCATAATAATTTTCATTGTACAGCGCAAGAAAAGTAACAATTTTGCTCTCAGATTAAACTAGTAATAATTGACACGCACACAAAATAAATTGTATATATAGTATGCTGACGAATAAAAAAGAAATTAAACTTTAAACTTGATTTTGTTCCTAAATCTTTCTATATATGTATTTGTTGTTTGGATGAAAGAATTCGGAATATATAAATAAAAAATGTTTTTGTTTTGTGTTTTTTTT